AAGATGAGTATTATATTCCCCTACAGCAGCCCCTGCTGGAAATACTTAAATATGTCCTACACAGGCCTTTACTCACAGGCACACTTCTGTGACATGGAGTTAACATAACATGGGTTCATACTTTTCCAGTGAGTGATATCACCTCACCTGCCGATCACCTGATCTTCGAGACTGCAATGATATCAGGGCTTTGCAAACATTTACCTTAACATACAACTTGTTCAATTTCTTTCACTTGACTTTTCCTTCCAGTTCAGCTCTACCATTTCCAAAATTATTTCCATTGTCACTGCTCCTGTGATTCCAGGTTCCTTATATAAGCATTCATCCAAAAGGCAGGCCAGGCTGAACTGGAATTTCCTTTCAGCTTCTCTTCTGTTCCCTGTTATATAAGCACCCATGCTTGTGAAGTGATCTGAAGGCTCACTTTGATTTGTAGATAAGCCTAAAGGACTATGATGAAGCTGGGAAGAAAGCTGGAGTGCTAATGAAGGATCAGTCACTGCAAGATCAATCATATTATCTGAGGAGAAAGTCATGAAGAGATCAACAACTTTTACTTGATCTCCTCAAAAGAACAGTGAGGAGTTCAGTGGAATTGTTCTAAATTACTAGAGCCCTGGGAAATCTTCCCCCACTGCATCCAGTGAAACAATCCAGAATTTTACATGGAAATTTTTATAGGGAGGAAGTCTGTGGTTTCACAAGGAATGTGTCCAGTGATTGGAATGGGGGACATTGCATAAAGAGATCTGGGTTAAGATTTTTAAAAACAGGTACCGTCAGGAAGGCTCCTAAATCTACATTTAGCCACCTAAATAAGTAGCCTGTTTTTCAGAAGTGCTGAATACCCAACACTCCCAGTGTTATAAATAATGCCTAGCATTACTCTAACGGAATGAGATTACAGCGTGAAAATATTGTTTTCTCTTTTTTTCCCAGTCTGCTTACTTTGTTCATATGATAGCACTTTGTATATCGTGAGGTCTTGTGTACACTAGTGAAAAATCCACACCCTGAAGGGTCATAGCTAAGCTGACATACGTCTCTGTTTAGACAGTGCTAGACCTAAGGGCATGTCTATACTTAATGGAGGATCTGATCAATCCCCTGAGGGGCAATTTAGTGTGTCAAGTAAAGATCCACTAAATTGACTACCAGTCACTCTCTTGTAGACTCTGGTACTCCACCTGAACAAGAAATGTAAGACAAGTTGATGGGAGAGTTTCTCTCGTCGACCCTCCGCAGTGGAGACCCCACCGTAACTCAGCCTAAGGTATGTCAATTCCCACTACGCTATTCACATAGCTGGAGTTGCATGCCTTAGAATGACATTGCCCTGTAGTGTAGATTTGCCCTAAGAATTCTTCCATTGACCTAGCTACCGCTTCTCAGGGAGGTGGATTACATACATCACAGTGCAAATCTATCCCTTTTTTCCCTGTCTGTCCTTCCTGAGCAAGCCCTACCCTTCCATACCAACATTCCAATCATGCGTCCCATCCCACCAGGTTTCTGTAATACCAATGATATCATAGTTGTATTTATTGGTTAGCAATTCCAGTTCTTCCTGCTTATTACCCATACTTCTCGCATTTGTATAATGCGCAGGAGCTGCAGGCCAGTGGGGGGGTGGCAAGAGGTGGTAGCAAAGCACTCCTACCGCATCTTCCACAGCGGTAGCACCTCCCCATGAGCAGAGCCACATGGCGCAGCACTGAGACAGGCCATGTTGGCGCATGCACGGGAACTGCCAGCCTGCCAGGAGGCGG